TAACGACAAAGATGTCTATCAGGTGAATTACCAATTCCTGCTTCTCAAATTGTCTGTCACACTGCACACCTACATGATTCTTTCTCTGAGCAACTCTGAGAGCTTATGTCCCTTAGGGGAAAAGGGAAACACCATCTCCAAAGTGACTGACATCAAAAAGGCAGAAGAGCAGGGACAATTTCCATAAAGCACATGGCAGACAAAGTTCAAAGGAATAACTGCAGGGTTCTTATAACTTGCCTGTATTGATGTTATGCCAGATGATTCTACAAACTCCTCAAATCGTTCATGGCAGGGATTTAAGTCAGGTATATAAAAGGTCTACCTGGCTGAAGGAGTTCTATGATTATTTGGTCCCACTGTACAGACAAACAGTGGAGAACTATCTTAGAGCAATAAGCTCAGCCTTGGACAGATGAGAGATATTGTGTTGGTTTGTTTTTTTTTTTTGAGAGATACTATTTAGATGAAGAGGGAGTGCAGTTGCTAAGAATATGGAGAAATATAATTTTCTGTAAAGCAGGTACTGTTCCCAAGTTTTAAGACTAAGAAAATCTAGCCACTATATTTCAAAAGTCACAATGGAATACTGAAACCTCTCCATGTGGGCATCAAATTTCTTGGAACCTCAACTATCTAGCTCTAGGTATAAATTCAAAGGGCAAGCATCAGTGAAGACAGACATCACAAACCCACGCAAAAGCCCCCAATGCCATTAGAGAGCCACACTGTGCTTCAGGAAGAAAGAAGAAAAAAGCCTCTCACAAGCAAAACTAATTTCAATTATAATTAAAATAGCCACTGAGCAGATAAGAGAGAAAACAGTCATACAATATATGAAGTTCATGCACTTCACTAAGAACCTATTTACTCTGATTTTACGTTTAGAATTTATTCCTACATTAGATACAGTTCCTGTAAGCACATGGTTTCCTATTTTGGGGAAGCAGAGAAGCAATTAATAAGTTGGAGTCATCTACAGTCAGAATCACTGACTAGGCATACTGCCAGCACCCAGAGGCAAGGGAAAAACCTGAGGTGGGAGAAGAAAAATCATTTTTATCAACAGATGTAGAGCCCCAAACACAAGGCAGAACGGACCTTTAAGTAGGGGTGGGACAACTAGCATTAAGAACATCAGGGGCCTCTGAAAACACCATGGTGTTACACACATGCATACACAACATGACAGACAAATCCCCTGTCATGAGACCTGGGTTCTGGTTCTGTTCTTAATCACAAGCTACTCAGCCTCTTCTGAGCTCACCTCCACCTGTAAAATCAAAGTAATAAATCCTCACCTTACCAACCAGACATACTACCATAAAGAGCTGAACAAAATAATTTAGGTAACAATGTTTGAAAACTGTAACACACTATACAATATATGACTTTAAGAATATGTCAGAATATGTTCTGTATAGTCTGTTTAAGAAGACAATCTATTTAAATCAATTTCCATTTAAATGGCCAAATAAAATGCTAGCACCTCTCCTAACAGAAAATAAACTTACATGGTATCATTTATCCCCTCCCACAAATGGTCAAGTTTCTTTCCCTACTAGCAAAGGAAAAAAGAGCTTTTAAAGCAAGAGAAAGGTTTTAGCATCTGAAAAAGAATATATATATATGTATAACTGACTCACTTTGCTATACACCTGAAACTAACACAACACTGTAAATCAACCATACTTCAATAAAAAAAGAAATTTTAAAAATAAGAATAAATTAGCCAAGTACAAAAGGGAGGAAAAAAAAGATTAGCTGCCCTCTGGAAACCAGATAGATTATATTGATATACAGCATTTCATCTGACAGGAAAGACATTTCAAGATGACAGAAGATAAAAAATACTTGTTCTATTTATTTTAAAAATAATTTTTTAATTTATTTTTTATTTTTGGCTGTGCTGGGTCTTCACTGCTCGTGGGCTTTTCTCCAATTGCGGAGAGCAGGGGCAGCTCTCCAGCTGTGGGGCGCAGGCTTCTCTAATTCAGAGCACGGGCTCGGGGGCTTCAGGGGTTTTGGCTCCCAGGCTCGAGAGTACAGGCTCAATAGTTGGGGTGAACGGGCTTAGTTTCTCCCAAGCATGTGGGATCTTCCCATATCAGGGATCGAACCCACGTCTTCTGCATTGGCAGGCAGACTCCTTACCACTGAGTCACCAAGGAAGCCCCAAAAATATTTTTTAAATGAATACCCATAACTAAAAATGTAACATGAAATAAAATATCTATTATAGTTATATTATACAGCAATATTTTTAAACTGTAAGTCATAATCACTGTAGGAAATATTAGAGAACATTATTTTTAGCAAAAGTTAAGTATTATAGGATTTTGTTTTACTCAGTATCTGTTATTACTATGTATATATGCACTTGCTTTCTGGGTAAAGGCACAAATTACTTCCTTAATGTTCTTCTATTATTGCATCAATTTCCTGGCCTGGTCTTGGCTGCCTGTCCCAATCTATCCATGGGCTCCCTTTTACTGGTAAGCCCTTCCCTTGTCTATACTCCTTTTCTTTTTCTTAGATCATGTACCTGCAAGGATAGCAGTTACAAGTTCTCAAGCAGACACACACAAAATGAATTTAGTGTGTTTCTATATAACAGACATGCTCTGACTGAGGAGAGACTACACATCATATCAAGAGAAGGTGTACACAGAATAATGTGCATTTTATACCGATGTCATACTTAAGGCTACCTCTGAGATGTCACAGAATCCGTTCTACTTCCAAGCAAAATTGAAAGAGCATCCCTCTCTTTCAATTAAGGGATGAAAAATGATAGCAAAGAAATGTGTAAAAGAGGGCTGAAGAGAGGTACTGTCAACGGAGTAACAAAAGATCAACAGACCAAGTAGATCAATCACTGACAGCTCTTCTGACTCTGAACACGATTTCAGAACAGTACTGAGGAAAAACACAGAAAAGCACTAAATACCTACAAAAATACGCACACGTGCACGCATATATACACACAGGTGTTTCATCATACCATTAGTACAAAAAGAGAGAAAAAGAACATAGCATCTATTACCTGTCCTCTCTGCAAGTCCACATTGCTATCATTTCTCTCATGTTCTACAGGCCAAAATCTACTTTGGGAAACATCTTCTCACAAATCAATCCACTCTGATTGAAACAGATGGACATGTCAACACGCGACTCGTATGCACAAACAGAGCAAACACAGGGTTTGCTGAGCTGTTCAACTTTTTATTGAACTTGTCTTTTGCCAGTTCTCACCTACTTTGAAATACATATCAAGTAAATTATCAGACATTTAATTTTACCAAGTGCCAGACAAATAGCTGATTCTATATCAAAATTCTGTATCAAACACAGGGACCCTGATTTGTAAAAGTCACTCCAGGCATAAATGCTAATTAAACCATATTACCATTGATCAGTAAAAGGCTCAAATATGCATTTAAGGACTGAATAAAACATAGAAATGGAGAGTGAAAATACATATGAGTAAGAAAGAAAGTGCAAATCTCTATAAAATAAGTGTTTCCAAATACACACTAAGGGGAAACTGAGGAAGTGAAGAGGGTCCATTTGTGCAACATAAGGCCCTAAAGACGGCATTAACGTTTTTAGGACCAACTGTGCAAAAAGCAAGCACCACAGGGAAATGAAGGAAGGTTGAGCCTGGGGATAAACAAACAGGAACCTGCTGAAAGGAACATGACCGTGTTGATGAGGTCTATATTGTTACTACTCTGCACCCTTTTCAGGGGGAGTGCACGGGAAATTGGATGGGCAATACAGTTCAGCCACAAAACCGACCTTGGTGAAAGCTGAACATGAGTGAGAAAACAAAACAAAATATCAGTCTGTCCAGCTGAGTTTTCCAGAAATAATTTTTACTTATTATATTTACTTACTATCTTTAAAATTTTTTCTTAATACATTGAAATACATTAAAAGTTTGTGTATGCTGGGCATACACACCGAGGAAACCAGAATTGAAAGAGACACATGTACCCCAAAGTTCATCACTGCACTGTTTAAAATAGCCAAGACATGGAAGCAACCTAGATGTCTATTAGCAGACGAATGGATAAGAAAGCTGTGGTACATATACACAATGGAGTATTACTCAGCCATTAAAAAGAATACATTTGAACCAGTTCTAATGAGGTGGATGAAACTGGAGCCTATTATACAGAGTGAAGTAAGCCAGAAAGAAAAACACCAATACAGTACACTAATGCATATATATGGAATTTAAAAAGATGGTAACGATAACCCTGTATGAGAGACAGCAAAACAGACACAGATGTACAGAACAGTCTTTTGGACTCTGTGGGAGAGGGCGAGGGTGGGATGGTTTGGGAGAATGGCATTGAAATATGTATATTATCATATGTGAAACAGATCGCCAGTCTAGGTTCGATGCATGAGAGAGGGTGCTCGGGGCTGGTGCACTGGGATGACCCAGAGGGATGGGATGGGGAGGGAGGTGGGAGGGGGGTTCAGGATGGGGAACACATGTACACCCATGGAGGATTCAAGTCAATGTGTGGCAAAACCACTACAATATTGTAAAGTAATTAGCCTCCAATTAAAATAAATAAATTTATACTAAAAAAAAGCTTGTGTATAAAAATGCAAGAAAAACTGTTTATCATGATTCTAGTTGAAAATATAAAAGTAAGGTAATTCAAATAAAAGTAATTCTGATGAATAAAATTAGCACTTGGTATAAAATATAGCAGCTTTATAACAGTATAAAACTATCAGCGAAGAAAGGGAGTGGTAAAATGAAAACAAAAAGTTACAAATGGATTTCCATTCTAAAACACTTAAACTGACTTAAACAGCTATAGTATCATATCAACCTAAAAGTCAATAGATTAACATTAAACAAAAAATAAAGAAGGCACACACAATATACACCAAAGCAGGTTAAAAGATAGCTTTCTATAACATAATAATGCTGACAACCTCCAAATAAGTTTATCCCTTTCCCTCAATCAACTCACCCAACATTTTCTGCATCTTCATCACACTCAGCTTTATATTTGCAGGGTCCACACTTGGAGTGTTTTCTGTGAACTTCTGCCCCTGATCCTTCCTCTTCTGTTTAAAAAGAAAAATTAAATTTTCAACCAAAAGCTGGGATCCTTTCCAGACCTGCTTCATGTTTTCAGCAGCCATTATCCTATTTCTGGGGGAAATGTATGCAAGGCTCTTGAAAACAATCAGTTCCAAAAAGCTACTGATGCTTGAGTCCAAAAATGCTGTCAATACAGAGTATAACATATACTCTGGAAAAAAACAAGTATTGGGGCCAGAAAAATAATCCCTTAGCCTAAGTACCATGGAACAATAAGCCAGGTCTCATTAATTCTTAAAAAGAATTACCATAACATGAAATAAGAGAGGGGAAATAAACATGAGCAATAAATTCAGTCCAGTGATTACCCTACTGAAACAGCCTGTGCAATCCTATTAGCAGTAAGTGATTCAACAAATAAGTTATTCAACACAGCAGAGTCTAACCACTACCTTGTCCTCACATCAGTTTCACACCTGCCTTAAAAACTGTCTCCAAATTTTAAAAAGGAAAGGAGTCTATTTACAAAGTACTTACCCTTTTCTACTTTGCCACCTAGCCCTGCCAATAATACCAAGAACACTGAAGTGTATGGGTCTCCTATGATCTAGCACAAGATCAGTGCATACCACCAGCCCCCGAATCAGCTCATATTTCAGTTAGGGAACCTCGTATCTGTGGGTCTCAGCTACAGTGGATCTGATCATGGTAATCTCAAACTGGGCAGGAGATGAGTTCTGAAGCCAATTTAGGGATAATGGTTTATTCAGAGGATGTCCCAGTCTGGTTTGGAACAGAGAAGGTGTTAGAAGGAAAGCACACAGACCTAAGTGCCTGTTTGGTACTATTTCTACACTTGCCATTTTGGATATCTACCTACACTTTACCCAAACTCTCATGCATACTCCCAAACAATTCCAGGGAGCATAATCTTAAGTATTTCTAAGCCTCAGAAATACCATGAGATCTAAAATTCACACGGCCACTATGAGCTCACTAGAATTTGTGTATTAATCTGAGCAAACCACTAAGCCTAACTCATACTCCCTAAAAAAAAAAAAAAAAAAAAAAGATTACCAACAACCAACATTCTCAGGGCAAGACATCCAATACTTGTACCATAAAAGCAAATATGCAAACCAACTTCCATTTCTTTCATATAGTAACAATGAGTTTCCTAACTGAATATCTGACCACAGGGGACAGACCAGATGGGCCTTTAAAGTCCTTTCCAGTTCTAAGATCTAGAATTAACAATCTCATCCTTCACACATGATCACGAAGTTTCTGCTTGAACATGTCCATTTAAATTCTATTGTTAGACAGCTTCTAATCTTTTTTTTTTTTTAAAGCTAAAACTATCATCCCTGAACATCTTCCTCAGGACAGTTCTACTCTCTTAGGTGACCTTTAGAGTCCCTTCCAACTCTACAATTTTAGAGTTCTATGAAACATAGGGAGATGGAGTAAGGTTTCAGATTGTGCTGGAAGGATCATAACTGTGATTTTCATTTGCATACATGTGAATTTTACCAGAGATTTTTTTTCTTTTAGTGCATCCACAGAGCACCTGAAACATTATTTTGCATTCAGTGGATACTCATTAAGAATTAGTCTCATTAGACTATGAAATAGTTTAGTCATTCTCAATTCTAATAATTCATCATTTCTCAGGTTTGTGCTAAGATCAAGTAGAGTATCTGTTCTAAATCAATGCTAATAATTCAGAGTAAACTCTGTTACATGCTACTACAAAATATTATTTTTTTTAATTTTGTGCCTTGAAAATTCCTTATGAGCAAAAATGTGTAAGCAAAGGACAGAAAAGAGTCACAAATACTCTGATCCGAGCTAAAATCACCTGGGGATGATCCTACGGAGAGGGCCCTTTGGTGTAACTTCAATCGTTTCCCCTTTGCCTGACAACAAATCTAAAGTGAAAAATAAATGCAGGAAAAAAAAGGGGAACTGAAGGGTTGGGATGATGGCTGAGGGGTACAGGGTTTCTTTCTGGGGTAATGAAAATGTTCTAAAGTTGGCTGTGGTGACTAATGTACAACTCTGTGAATACACTAAAAGCCACTGAATTATACACTTTCGATGGGCAAATTGTATGGTATGTGAATTTTACCTCAGTAAAGCCATTTTTAAAATGCAAAAGAAGAAAAGGACTTTTAAAGCGTATTTGAAACTTACCTCCTTCTCCAGATCCAGAGCCATTATCTAAGAAGAAAAATAAAGAATGAGTATGAACACTTTTCCCAGAATCTCATCTTACCAAATAGTAAAATTTCTTATCAAAAATCAAACTGTGATATCCATTCTCAGATAGTCCCTTTTCTCATTTTTTTCGAAATCCAACAATTTATTCTTATATACTTATTTTGTACCTTTCTCCAAATATAAATTCCTTGGATACATAATCTATACCTCATAATCTTTGTAGCCCATTCAGAAAATACCCAGGTGCTTTGTACAGAGTGAAAATCAATAAATATTATAAAGTAAATGGCTAAATAAAAATAATTATAATGAACTCACTTAAAAGATATTAGAAATGTTTAATTTTGCTAAAGCTTTAAAGGAATAATAAATAAACTGCTTTTAATAAAAAGGAAGGAAAAGCTTTGGGTCTTGCTCCAAAAATCTTAATTAAATCTGTGGATAAAGGCCAAAAGATATGAATAAACCTAAGGTTTAGAAGGAAAGAACCTCAAGGTTGAGGTTTTCTTAATACTGATGAAATTAACTTCCTCCAGGAAACCTTACCAAAAGGAAATCTCACCAAGGTGTCAGTGAAAAACTTGTTACTAATCAAATTAAAGAACCTCCCTCAAAGTTACCAGCAAGAAACCAGTGTAAAATGTAATTAATTTAAAATATGTATTTTATAATCCTGAAAGAACCAACACATGGCACATAGCATGTTGAAAAGAGGGCAAGACTGTAGCATCATCAGCCTGGAGCCGAGATGGCAAGTGATGAACTTGACACTCTATCCAGCACTTTCTAGGGAGAATTTACCAGAAAATGCATTCCAGTCTGTCAGATAGCTCTCGAGAATAGGTGACATCCTTCACAATATCACTCCCATCCCCCCTCAACCTCAATCTCACAAAGACAATAATCAAAGTCCCAATCATGGTAGAAACAAGAGGGACTGGAAAAAATACACATTTTAGATATCACCCACTTCACTATTTCTGCTTTATTGACTATGCCAAAGTCTTTGACTGTGTGGATCACAATAAACTGTGGAAAATTCTGAAAGAGATGGGAATACCAGACCACCTGACCTGCCTCTTGAGAAATCTGTACGCAGGTCAAGAAGCAAGAGTTAGAACTGGACATGGAACAACAGACTGGTTCCATATAGGAAAAGGAGTACGTCAAGGCTATATATTGTTACCCTGCTTATTTAACTTATAAGCAGAGTACATCATGAGAAACACTGGGCTGGATGAAGCACAAGCTGGAATCAAGATTTCCGGGAGAAATATCAATAATCTCAGATAGCAAATGACACCACCCATATGGCAGAAAGTGAAGAAGAACTAAAAAGCCTCCTGATGAAAGTGAAAGAGGAGAGTGAAAAAGTTGGCTTAAAGCTCAACATTCAGAAAACTAAGATCATGGTATCTGGTCCCATCACTTCATAGATGTGGAAACAGTGGCTGACTTTATTTTGAGGGGCTCCAAGATCAAGGCAGATGGTGATTGCAGCCATGAAATTAAAAGACGCTTACTCCTTGGAAGGAAAGTTATGACCAACCAAGACAGCATATTAAAAAGCAGAGACGTTACTTTGTCAACAAAGGTCTGTCTAGTCAAGGCTATGGCTTTTCCAAGTAGTCATGTATGGATATGAGAGTTGGACTGTAAAGAAGGCTGAGCACCAAAGAATTGATGCTTTTGAACTGTGGTGTTGGAGAAGACTCTTGAGAGTCTTGGACTGCAAGGAGATCCAACCACTCCATCCTAAGAGAGATCAGTACTGAGTGTTCATTGGAAGGACTGATGTTAAAGCTGAAACTCCAATACTCTGGCCACCTGATGCAAAGAGCTGACTCATTTAAAAAACCCTGATGCTGGGAAAGATTGAGGGCAGGAGGAGAAGGGGACAACAGAAGATGAGATGGCTGGACGGCATCACAGACTCAATGGACCTGAGTTTGGGTAAACTCCAGCACTTGGTGATGGACAGGGAGGCCAGGCGTGCTGCGGTCCATGGGGTCACAAAGAGTTGGACACGACTGAGTAACTGAACTGAACTGAACTTGAACACTTCATGGGATTTTATACAAAGTCTTACAGTGTATTCATGGACCGATCAACCATGAAAAATATCTTCTCTAAATAGAGGAAAAGAAAAGATGAAAGAGCAGGAAAAAAGACAAGAAGGGAACTTGACTTATTTTTATTAACAAATTTTTCTCAGGAAAACTCTCTTTTTCCCTTCTATTCCATATACATTGACTAGGTACATATTATGTGTTAGACAACAAAGTAAAAGGAATAGGTACAAACTGATAAATAAGACACACCCAGTGCAGGACATACTCACTACCAACCTTTTTTTCAACCAATGTCCAATTTTAATAAATATAATATCTCACTGCCTTCCATTAGGGTCATTTAAAATTTTGAAACAAATAATTGTGACTACTCTGATAATGAGGTTGAGCTCTTACTGTAGATTAGATTTTCACTAGACACACGCCTTCCCCGACTCCAACCCTGGAATTATGACATCCTCCCTAGGCAAGACATACTACTTTCCTGTTCAGAAACAGATCTGGCTAAAGCATAAACACATTTATCTGTGTTGGATAAATGAAATGAAGTATGATATGTACACAGACATATGCACAAAGCATGAACAAATTCTGCCAGGAGATGCCAAAGAAAGATTTCAAAGGGGAGAAAAGACTTAAGCTCAATATTAAAGCATTTTTAAAAAAAGGAGTTCTCAAATAAGCAAAGGAGAATGTTATTTCTAGCACAGCAAACAGGACCTACACCAGACTAGATAACAGAACACAAACCCCACCCAGCAGATAACAAGATCAATGCAGCATCTTATAGCTCAGCTCACCGGACCCTCACTTAACCGCAGGAGGCGATAACCATCTAACCATGTAGGTATGTAACTGGGCCTCAGAGCAGCTAAGTGATTTGTGCCAGGTCATTCAGCAAACCAGAGCTGGAGTTAATTTAAGTTAGACTTTTTAAGCCTAGTGCAGTGCTCTTTCCAGCCTAACACTCTGCCTCCCCATGTTTAACATTCATTGTTTATCAAAGCACTTGGCATCTTAAACTCCTCATAAATGATGCATAATTAATTTGGGATTATAAAGAACTCCATATTCCTTTTTAGTTTCTAAATCAAGTCTGAAATATAATGCACCTAGAAAAGTATGTGAGAACCATATCAAATGACAGTCTACTAGCCTAAGGGAACCTAATTATTTAGTGTATGGAAAAGAATTTGGCCTTTCCCAAAGAGAGATCTGACCTTGGCCCGCAGCTTCTAGAAGGCAACTAACTGATGTTTAGGAAGGAGGCTGACCACATCAGATCTTAGGGTGGGGCTGGCCACGCTCAGTGTTCTTAGGGTGAGGGCTGGCTCACACCACAAAGACCAACCACACAGTTCAGAGCGGAGGCTTTGAGTCATGTGGTGTTAGTGGACCAAGTTTGAGATCAACCACATGGACAATCAATCAGTCATGCTTATGTAATGGAGCCCCAATAAAAACTGAACACGGGCACTGTTGTATACAGGAAAAGAAAGGAAATGGGGTAATCATATAAAGAACAGCCTCCACATTTACTGCTAACCTTCATACAATAATTCTATTATAATATCTCACCAGCATCCCTGCTCCCACATACAAACACAAGTAAGAAACCAAGGCATTACCATTGGTTTTTTACAGTAATGCCCTCCAAAACTGACCACTACCAATTTAGGAAGACATAAAGAAGGCTGAGCATTGAAGAATTCATGCTTTTGAATTGTGATGCTGTAGAAGACTCTTGAGAATCCCTTGACAGAAAGGAGATCTAACCAGTCAATCCTAAAGGAAATCAACCCTGAATATTTATAGGAAGGACTGATGCTGAAGCTGAAGCTCCAATACTTTGGCCACCTGATGCAAAGAGCTGACTCGTGAGAAAAGACCCTGATGCTGGAAAGATTGAAGACAGGAGGAGAAGGGGACGACAGAGGATGAAATGGTTAGATAGCACTACTGACTCAATGAACATGAATTTGAGCAAATTCTGGGAGACACTGAAGCACAGGGAAGCCTGGCATGCAGCAGTTCTTGGTGTCACAAAGAGTCAGACACAACTTAGTAACAACAACAAATAATTCAGTAAGGAAAAGAGAAGTAAATACAAAAACTGGGAGGAGGTTGGTAACAAAGGCTGACAAACAGAAAAGATACAAAGAGAAGAGCTTGGACAAACACTTCCTGGGATGCCACTAATGAGTTTCTACCATATTCCCCACTCCACCTCCCACCAAAATAAAAATTAACAAAACAGATCTCACAGCATTTGCCCTCCCAAATCTTATTCTGCCTAATGTTCAAACTATAAGGCAAAATTGCTAAGCAAAGTCTCCACCAAAAATAGTATTAAACATTAAAAACATCCTGAGAAGTAACACAGAAGAAGTAATGAGAGAGACCACCTGGGGTTAAAAAGCAACATGAAATGGGGGCAAAAAGAAGCCCTGCCCACTTCCCACATAATCATCCCAATCCAGACAGCAGTCTTGGGAATAAACCTCTGACTGGAAACTTCATCTTAGTATGGCGGAACCATTTCTAATATTTCTTCAGAAGAGTATCACACATACCAGAGTAGCATGGGCCTCTTGCTACTACCGTTATCTCTTTCTGATGCTTACAAGCAGCCCTTCTGAGAAAGCATTCGTTTTGGTACGTGTCCCCATTTGATCCACAGACAGGAATGTAATTCGTATGGCACTGCAAAAGAAACAAAAATAAATTCTCAGAACGAGGCATGAATACTAACAGTTCATTTCATATTCATGAATGCAATGCCATAGTATTGTAACACACTTCTACTACAGAAGTTTGTTCTTTTATTTGGTTTTTAAAAAGAAGAGTTGTGCTACTTTCTCATACCTTTTTTCACATTTATAATGAAAATGTTTTAACTATAAACTATCCATAAAAATGAGAATGAAAATCTCTATCCTATCTACATCATTTGCTAGTGATCCAAGGAGATAGTATAAGAGGAGATTCTTCCCAATGTTTGGAATAAGCATTAATGATGTAAACTATCAAAATTCACTTATTCAACACCTCTAGTATAAAAGGTTTCAAGGTAAATGCTATGGAAGACACATGAGCTCTGTTCTCTGAGACTTTACAATCTTATTAGAGAGCCAAATAAATATGAAATATATGTATGTGTGTATATATATGATCGTGTACTAAATCAAAAGTACAGATGAGTATAATATCTAACACCTATTACTGTAAGACATAAGGTATTTAAGAAAGCCTCCTCAGAGAAAGTGAAATGTGAACTGGACCTTGAAGAATTAGTCGATGAAAAGAAAAAAAAAAATGATACAGGTTTGAGAAATGACACTGAATTAGTATGTTTAAAAAACTTTAAAACTTCTATATTTCAAAAATATAAAGGATTAAAGTTTTAAAATCTGGGAGATAATAGTATAACATGATACAAGTTATCATCACTGAAACAGAGACAGCACCAATTAATACAAAATGGACGAAAGACAAATTTACAGAAAGATAACAAATGGTCAATTAGTATATTAAAAATGCTGACCTTTACTAACAATCAGAGTTGTACATGAAAATAAGATGCTACTTTAACCTTATAAAACTGGCTACTAGACAAACAAAAAATTCAATTTAGTCACAAACCAATAGCCCTGCTATAATTTAAGCTGGCTCAATCTTTTAAGAATACAATTTAACAACACATTTTAAGAGTTCTAAAAAAGCAATGAGGCTTTGGATCTAGAATTACACATTTAAGGATCTATCTGAAGGAAACTACAATAGATAAAAATTTATTAGTCATTTCAAATAGAAATGTATTCATATCAAAAACATACAAGAAAAAATCTAAGTGTCCAATAAGGTAATGTTTATTTTAAAGCACACTATATATGTTCAAAGAGTCATTGAGCATTGCCCTTTATAAGAATACTGTGTGACATAAAAAGATGTTAGGTGAAAAGCAGGTGATAATACCACGTATATAACTTCTAAGAATTTTGTGCCATTTTTAAATGCAGTATCTAGTCCACAAAACTTAATGCAAATTTCTTAAATAATATGATAATATAAAATAAAAATGTAGCAAGAAGATAAATTATATATATATATATATATATATATCTGAATTATTTAGAAAAATAAATATTCAGAGAGTAAATCCTGGAAGAAAATATCAACAAATTTTTCACATTACTTGTCACCATATTTTTTTATTTCCAAGTTTATGATTTTCTGTTTTTCTCAATTTTTCTGCAATGAGCAAGGCTTACTTTCATCATTCATTTACTTTTTAAAAAGTGGTCAACTTACTTAATGAAACATAAATTTGGCATGCTACCTCAGGTAAAGCACTGGTAAAAACAATTTTTAATAAAATATTTTATAACCAAGTTGACTTGCTATACACTATCACCAGACTCCTACATGAACTTTAGTTAAAACTCAAATTTTACTTTAGGATGCCTTCCTATATTCCTCCAATTCTTCCAAGGATCACATTACTTTATTCTCTTCCCCTAACATGTACACAATAAAACTTACATGATGTCTGCAGGAGTCAATGTTACTCTGTAATTCTACAATGTATAATTAACAACAACACAACAAAAAAGACCATAAGCTCCAAGATGTCAATACAAGTCTATGGATTTTTCAAGCCAACTAATTCTTCACTCAGCAATGCTTAACAACTTTCTAATACAGTGCTCACAAAGGTGCTCATGCTCCCTAGGGGTGGGTGCCCCATGGAGACATTTTTGGTTGTCACCATGACAAATGAAAGTGAAAGAGGAGAGTGAAAAAGTTGGCTTAAAACTCAACATTCAGAAAGCTAAGATGATGGCATCTGGTCCCATCAGTTCATGGCAAATAGATGGGGAAACAATGGAAACAGTGAGAAACTTTATTTTAGGGGGTTCCAAAATCACTCCAGATGGTGACTGCAGCCATGAAATTAAGACATTTGCTCCTTGGAAGAAAAGTTATGACCAACCTAGACAGCATTATTAAAAAGCAGAGACATTACTTTGCCAACAAAGGTCCGTCTAGTCAAACAAAGCTTTGGTTCTTCCAATGGTCATGTCTGGATGTGAGAGTTGGACTGGAAAGAAAGCAGAGCACAGAAGAATTGATGCTTTTGAACTGTGGTGTTGGAGAAGACTCTTGAGAGTCCCTTGGACTGCAAGGAGATCCAACCAGTCCATCCTAAAGGAGATCAGTCCTAAATATTCATTGGAAGGACTGATGCTGAAGCTGAAACTCCAATACTTTGGCCACCTGATGTGAAGAGCTGACTCACTGGAAAAGACCGTGATGCTGGGAAAGACTGAAGGCAGAAGGAGAAGAGGACGACAGAGGATGAGATGGCTGAGTGGCATCACCGACTCAATGGACATGAGTTTGAGTAAACTCCGGGAGTTGGTGATGGACAGGGAGGCCTGGCGTGCTGCAGTCCATGGGGTCGCAAAGAATTGGACACGACTGAGCGACTGAACTGAACTGATGACAAGAGGTCATTACTGTCATTTGGCAGATGGATTCTAAGGATGCTCAAAGTAACACAAAGGAAAGGGCAGTTCCATACAACATACACACCAGAAAATTTCTTTTTTTCACACACCATACAATTTCTGAATGCATCTCCAGCCGCTCACGTAGGAACTATGGAAATATCATAAACAAATAAGAGTACTCTAGCTTCTCCTAATAGTTTTTATTCTAGCACTCACCATACTTCTACTTTTCATTTTCAAGTACTACTGGTATGAAAGTGCTGATGATGATCTTTTTAAAAACCCAAATATTCATTTAAGTAGATATAAGCAACGGACTCCTACATTGTCTTCTAGTATAATCATGTCCCAGCATTTACATTTTGAAATACTTATTTTATTATAAATTACTTTTATTTCTCCTTTACATTTCAATTATACATTATATTGATTTCTTTAATTATGTGTTTATGTAAGCTACATTATCTACAAATTTCATTTTAGAAAAGAAATGGAATACAAATTATTGGTTACAAAAAAGGGTTATTAAGTCTGATAGGGCTGAGAATCTATATGGTAATAGCTAACATTTAACGAAGAGTTTCTATCTAGTAAATATTGGCTGCAACTTTAAGTGTCCTAAACTAACTTAAATATAACAGTCCTGCAAAGCACATGTGGAGAAGGAACTGGCAACCCACTCCAGTACCCTACTGAGTGCTTAGAGCCAGAGCTCTGAAGTCAGATGCTAAGTTCAAATCTTGGGTCAACCATTCATGTGACTACAGGTTAGCACCAGTGCCATTTTTTTTCCCTATCTGTAAAATGGTAATTATAATAGTATCTACCTAACAAAACTGTCATGAGGATTAAATAAGAGAAATCCATCTTTAGCATTTATATCTGGCCATAGTAAATTTTCAACAAACATTCGCTGGTTCTGCTATAGATATTAGCATTTCTGAGTTTTAAGTAACTGTCTAGGGTCACAGCTAATTCCTAATTTCTAACCACTACACGCTCCAGTTTTTCAGCAGGATCTCACTATATGTCACTTGGTGGTAGTGAGCAGGGAGCTTGAAACAGACAGGCGATGTCCTTGAAATGCAACCTAACAAGCACATACCAAGGAGTGAGCATGATGGGAAAAGCAAACCTGCAGTACCTTGGTCAGTCAGTTTCCAAGAGTTGCTTTTAGGAGCTTCTTCTTATGCTATAGAAAAATTAAATGATTTGGGCAATTTTAACAACATGCATCTTCTGACTCAGGCATGACTCTAACTTAAGGTGTGCCTCCTCTTTACTGTCACTCTTGCTGGGGGAAAGAACTCTCCCCCATACCTCCTCTTTACCTGGAAGAGTGATTTGAAGCAGTTTACAAAAATGCAGCAGTGTACAACTCTGCAGCCACATCCATTCAAGCATTTATTGTGTACCTACTGTGTGTCAAGAACTGTGCTGAATACAATAATATTAACAAGGCTGTGATGCTTAATTTTAAGTATCAACTTGACTGGGCTCCAGGGTGCCTAGATTAAATATTATTTCTGGATGTATCTGTCAAGGGTATTTCTCAATGACATTGGCATTTAAATTGGTGAACCAATAAACACCCTCTCCAATGTGGGTGGGATCATCCAACCCACTGAGGGCCTGAATAGAAAAAGGCAAATGAAGGGAGAATGAGCTCCTGACCTTGGTTGAGTGGGGACCTTGGTTTTCTCCTGGTTCTCAGGCCTATGGACTCAGACTGAGACTTACATATCAGTTCCTCTGACCCTCCAGCCTTCAGATCCACATTGGAACCACATTACTAGCCTTTTTGGGCCCCCAACCTGCGGATTGCAGATCATGTGACTTCGTGTCGGTAACTCAGTGAGCCCATTCCTGGTAATTTCTTTCTCTCTTCTCTCTAAATATACCTTGTTGGCTGTTTCTCAGGAGAATCCTGACTAATACAAAAGTCTAATAAGAGAACAGAGTACTTAGCTAGAGCAAATACTATGAAACTCAGGAAAAACAATATCAGCCTGAGAACTCCAGTCAGAAGAACAAAGGGGAAGAAAGAAAACAGGAAAAGCCACGGGCATTCCTCTTTACATATTATCCAGGTTTCAATGAAAAGATGTAATACTGATCATTTTTCTTTGTTCAAAATTAATAAAAGCAATCTTGTCTATGTATGTGGCAAGATGTAATAGCTCCTATTAACAGGCTAAACAAAACAATTTTACAATTTAAAATCCTATTATTATCTGCTAAAATGTGTTTCAATTATGCCCCCCAAAAGCTTGACACTGAAAGTATGATGAATCATAAGCAAGGTTTTTAAATGAATTGAAAGACAGTGTTAAAGCATCCACAGAGGAGTGTTAAACGGGCACACGAGGTTATTGTTCTTAAACCAGCAAGAACGGAAGTCTACGTTGAAGAGACTTGAAAGCTTATAAAGAAGGCAGAGGAGTCAAAGAAAGTTTCGCTCAGCAGCGGGATCAAGTAACGCTGCAAACCCTCGGGCAGTTTGCTCCTACTAAGTGAGTGATTTGTCTTTAAACATCTTTATATCCCCAGCTCCTACCACAAAGTAAGCTCTGGGTAAACGTCTACTGATCTAGACCCCTAACTTTTCTTTTTCTTTCTTGCTTTGCCACAAGGTAAGAATACAAGGGGTTCAGATAGATCATGAGAAGGTTCTCTAGCTATTCAAGTACGTTAAAAAGGCCAAAAGGCTTTATAACCTTAGAGTTGCAAGGAAAGACTTTGAGAATGAAAAGCAGAATCATGAAGACAAAGATAAATATAAAATGAAAATGTAGAACTTTATATAAAAAACATAAAATGAAAATAACACTAGGATAACGTCTTTAAAATATATAGAGATTTCTTTATAATCCATATAAACTAAAAAGTAACCATCTCTAAGGTACTTTAGTTTATATGGATTACATATATCCCAGGTGGCACTAGTGGTAAAGAACCCGCCTGCCAATGCAGGAGACATAAGAGATGCGGGTTTGAGCCCTGGATTGGGAAGATCCCCTGGAGGAGAGCATGGCATCCCACTCCAGTCCTCTTGCCTGGAGAATCCCATAGACAGAGGAGCCTGGTGGGATACAGTCCATAGGGTCTCAAAGAGAAAAGACTGAAGCGACTTAGCATGCATGCATAAGTGACTTAGTACTTAAAAGAAATTAAAACACTTATGTATTAGTAAAATACAGAATATTTTTAAAAGGAAATGTAAGAATTAACAGGATGTTGCCTCTGAGAAGAGCAACTGTTAGTCTGGAGTGGAAGGAAGACATTTTTTCCTTATATAATGTTCAACTTGTTTACTATGGCAAATACCACACTTTAAAAAAATGTATCAAAATGATACCTACATCATAGGTTTTCATAAGAGCTTAAGTTATGTTAACTTTTATATATAAATATATATATAATATTTAGAAGTTAATGGATATAAAATGCTCAGCACAGTAAGCAATATTATAAGAACAACACAAACAGTGTATTATATTTTATTAATACAATATACACACATATCTTTACAGATCAACACAGGGAAAAAGAAAATACTCCCCAAAATAGAGAGAATATGAAATATTAATTCACAAAAAATGGTAAATAAATCTATGGCACATTTCCAATTTCTCCAAGTAATCAAATGCAAAAAGTTTCTTTGCCTTTCAGATTTATATAATTTAAAAGGACTGACAAAATTCACTACCAAGAGGCTGAAAGGAAACAAGCAGCCTGGTAACACTGCTCTTGGTGAGAATGCTAATCTGGACATGAACATTCCATTGGCCCGACAACTCCACATCAAGGACTTTAACCTAAGGAAATAAAAAACCGTTGGAAGAGGGGAATAGCCCCAGTTTTCCCCACTCAGGATGGCTAAAATACCCACAAAAAACCTGCAATCTTTGTTGCATGAAGACCCAGAGGATAAAATTAAGAGCAACCAAAGCCACTGGAAAGTGAGCAAGGAAGTCCCAGAAAGGAGAGAGGGAGCAGGGAGCCCCAGATTCCGTGGCTGACTTCTGAACCAAGCACTCATGGGGCACAGTCCAAGTAGACCAGCTAAGACTGAAATAAATGATACTTGTGTTGCTCCCCAAACAGGAAGGACAAAGTCTGCTGTTCTTCAGTCAATTCAACTGTTTCTAAGATGACAATACTCAGAGGAACGTAATTCAAATACTAAAAAACATTCACAATGGGTGGGATACCGTCAGAATAAACAGGAAAAAAAAGAAAACACAATCCATTCTCAAATGAAAAGGCAATCAATAGAAATGATCTCTGAGATGTCCCAGATGTTGAAACTGGCATCAATATCTATGCTCAAGGAAAATAAGCTCGTAAGGAATGAAAAGACAAATCTCAAACAGAAACTATAAATTCTAAAAATAAAGTATCAGAAAGTAAAGACTCACAATGGCAGAATGGTGATGACAGAAAAAAGTATCAGTGAACCTTGATGTAAGTAAGTAAAATTTACCTAACATGAAGAACAAGAAGTAAAAGTACATGAGGGCTTGGTACATACCATGTACATCAACACCTTCTTTTAAGCAAAGAAGCCCACTTTAGTTACTGTCCTTCTTAAGAAGGTTTAGGGAGCAAGAGGGCAGGCAGACATAACACTGCCTATTTTTTTAATTTAATTTTTATTTTATATTACAGTTGAATTACAATGCTGTGTTAATTCAGGTGTACAACAAAGTGATTCAGTTACATATGCATATACCCATTCTTTTTAAGATTCTTTTCCCATGTAAGTTATTACAGAATATTGAGTAGGATTCCCTCTGCTATACAGTGGGTCCATGTTGATTATTTTATATACAGTAGGCACACTGGCCTGACTACTGTTTACATGAGGAACCATGGAGGGGTGGGCACAAGGTTAGCCAAGCCACTTCAAAGGTGGCTATTGTCAATAAACAGTGGACTGCAAAGTCCCTTTTGACCAAGGGGAACATTTTTGGCTGGTCATCAGCATACTCCCCACCCCTTCCTCCTTTACTTAAACTTTCTACTTCTTTTAATGAAAATAATCTTGATAGTTAACAGTTTTCAAAAAGGCTTCATATTCAAGGTCTCTTTCTGATTCTGATTCTGATTACAATATCCTAAGAAAGGGTGGGAAATATGCTATCTATTTTCAGATGGATCAAAAAGAATTATGCCTGAGGCTGTATAGGGTTTCTAGAAATACTGACTATCCTATGCTTTTATTCCTAACCTGTTCCCTTTCTTTCCTTTAAAATCCAAAATGGTAGGTACAATTAGAATAAGATCATGAATTTAAAAATTTCTAGTTCCTTTTTTGTTTCATCACAAATTCTGAGTAAGGGACCATTCTGTGAACAATGGTCCCTGGTCGGGGGAACTAAGATCCCTCAAGCTGTGCAATACAATCAAAAGAAAAAAAATGTAGCACATTTCACTTCCATTCTTTTTGCTTTTTAAGACAACAAACTCACAACTAAAACAGCATCTGAAAAATAGAGATATTCGCACTCTTCGTTTGAGATTCCCCCTTTCTAGTCCATCTGTAACTCGGATCTAACCTGAGGCAGTCATGTTCTTTGGCCTAAAAAAGACGGGACAGCAGCAAATAAGGGAAAAATAAGGGAAATAAGCAAATAAGGGAAAGAAAAGACCCGAAAGAGAAGGAAAGGGGAAAAAAAGACCAACATTTTAAATAACTGACTCTACTGCATTCTGAGAGTCCCTTGGACTGCAAGGAGATCCAACCAGTCCATCCTAAAGGAGATCAGTCCTGGGTGTTCATTGGTAGGACTGATGCTGAAGCTGAAACTCCAATACTCTGGACACCTGATGCAAAGAGCTGACTCACTGGAAAAGACCCTGATGCTGGGAAAGATTGAGGGCAGGAGGAGAAGGGGACAACAGAGGATAAGATGGTTGGATGGCATCACCAACTCAATGGACATGGGTTTGGGTAAACTCTGGGAGTTGGCGATGGACAGGGAGGCCTTTCTAGTATTTTTTCAAGGCATTTTCACATCCTATGAGAGCCAGTCTGTCCTCATAATTCAAGAAAAAAATGGAAGGTACAAACAGTAGCGTTTCATTTGACAAGAAAGAATCAGTGGGCTGTGAACCCAAATTTCTTGTAGGGTTCAAGGTGTTTTAATAAGCTTTTTAATTTTAAAAAATGTAGAATTACAAAATATGACAAATGTTAAAATTCTTGAAAAGAGGTTTGATTTCCTTACCTGAAACTGACATGCACATTTCAAACCATCTCCATCTTCTTTACAGACTCCTCCATATTTACATGATGATTCATCACAAACTCTTAGATCAGATTCCCTCACATTTAATTCTGTAAAAGAGGAAAAATTGTTTCATATACATATGTGTGTGTCCTTTTTATCGAAATTGTGCATATATAAATGAGAAAAAAATCCTTATACCTTATCGACAAGTATAAGTCACAACATACAAAAATTAGGTTCTACAGGACACAAACTGTTCGAGATTCCCCAAAGAAAGCTGTGCATAGTAATGTGCCTAAAATCACATAAAGCAAAGCAAAATAAAGCTCAGAATTTCAGGATTTCACATAATTCTCAAAAGGGAAATCCACAGAATTTTTTTATTTTGCCTGCCAAGAGCTTAAGACAGTCCTTTTACTATTATTATCTTAATAATTTAGATTATTTTTCTAGTGACTGAGTTACTTTTAAGGGCAGCCAATAAGAATAACTGGAAAAAAAATCTTGACTTTTTTGGTACCCAGAATAAGTTTTGGATAATCATTAATCACTCTAGACAGATAAACAGTTTCAATTACAAAAGAATGAAAAAGTAAGCTTGAATTTCACACAGTAGATATATACGGTATTTCACACCATAGGTATATATGGGGCATTTACATGAAAAGAAAGAGGTTCAAAATCTTCATAGATTTAAGATTTTTAAATGATTGATGTAATTTTACTACCACAGGAAGCAGAGCCTATCAACAATACTAGTATTCTGCAGTCATTCTGTGCTTGTTCCAAGACTGTCAGTCTTATTCTGGAACGATCAAAATAATCTCTCTAGGAAACCTAATAAATTGCTTCCAGGTTAGAGAAAAGCTGCCAATCACATGAAACTGGGTGAAAACCACTACAAAGCCAATTTTCATATCCTCCCTACTGGGAATGAGAGCTACAACAACAAATGCACTTACATAAACAATTAACAAATGGTTGTTTAAAAACTCATCCCAGGGCCTCCCTGACGGCTCAGTGGTGAAGAATCCGCCTGCCAATGCAGGAGACACAGGTTCGATTCCTGATCCAGGAAGATCCCACGTGTGGCAGAGCAAGTAAGCCCGTGTGCCACAACTACTGAGCCTGTGCGCTCCAGAGCCCGGGAACCACAACAGAGTCTGTGCGCTGCAGCCGCTGAAGCTTGCACCCCCTAGAGCCTGCGCTCCCCAACAGGAGAAGCCACGCAATGAGATGCCTACATACCACACCTAGACAGCAGCCCCAGCTCACGACCGTTACAGGAAAGTCCACACAGCAACAAAGATCCAACAAAGCCACAAATAAATAAACATTATTTTTTAAAAAAAAGACAACTCATCCCAGTGAGGAGGTGAATTCATGAGTCTGGAAGCAGAGAAGCCCAAGTCAGCTCCTGACTCTGTGGCTCAATAGCTGAGACGGTCTGGGAAGAGCACAAGACCTCCCGCAGCTCTAGATGGAGATGAGGTCTTGGCAAGCATCTCTCCGCGAGCATTTCTCCTGCAGTCCATCATCCCTGGTTGTTTTCTACTTCTAGGTTTCAAAGCAGGCCTCAGTGGACTGACTGGAGGAGGTCCTATTTGTCTGTCTAGTGCCTCGCGTCCTGGCTGACCATCATCGCTGCTCTGTGCCCCAACTGTCCTCAGTGCTCTGAAATATGTCTCTGCCATTTGTCTCAGGTCTCCCATTCCCAGCTGACCCTCTGAGGAACTGGTAGTCTAGTACCTAAACACCCAAGGAGTGGACAGTCAGGGTACTTATTTGACTAACCACCCTGAACTAAGCATTGCACTAAAGTAAGCATGTCTATGTAACTATAGGTTACAAAAAAAATTTTTTTTTTCTTTTCCTTAAATGGATCTCGGGTGGTGCACAGAATTGGATTGCTCTAAAGTTCAAGCATATGTGTAAAAAAAATTTTTTTAGAAGATGAGCAGAAACAAAAACTACAGGAAACTAATGCAGTTGTTTTGTCGCTCTCAATGTTTCACATAGTATTCAAGGCAGAGGAGACCATCCTTCGATTCCTTTCACCTTGGCTCTGGACGCTTTATGTTCTTGGTTTTCTTTATCTTCCAATTTTTACTCATTCTTCCCTGTCCGCCCTTAAACACTCACACTAGCTCCTGAGGCTCAATACTAATTGGGGGGAGGGGTGCTTTTCTCTGTCTACCTATATTCCTGCAGGGAACTCGCACAAGGCCTCCAGGCTCCAGTTACTGCCTTAGGTACACATTAAAACCCAAGGAACATAACTAAATATTCATAAAGAACTGCTCTAGAAAAGAAGATAAGAAAGCATGACATCTCTGTTCAACCACAGGCTTAATTAATTTTAGGGACCACAGAAATAAAAAGAATTGCATGATTTGAGAAATAAATTTTAGTGTGTTTCTCTTACTTCTTTTCTTTGTAGCTTTAAAGTTCACACTGGGTTCCAATGAAATCAGATATATCAAATGATAAAAGTTTTATTTTGTCCATGGGTCAAGATCATGCCTTAAGACTTGCTATCTTGGCTTCAGATTCTTTTGAGTTGTAGTATTTCACCTGTTGTATTTTAAAATCACAATGGAACTGCAATCAAGAGCCTAAACCCTCCCTGCCACAAAGATTTTCACACGCATCTGTTTGCATGATGGACCAAAGAACACCTTGGGAGAATAATCATTCATACTAAGGTGAAGCTTCCCTGGTAGCTCAGTTGGTAAAGAATATACCTACAGTGCAGGAGACCTGGGTTCGATTCCTGGGTGGGGAAGATCCCCTGGAGAAGGAAATGGCAACCCACTCCAGTATTCTTGTCAATGGAGAATCCCATTGACAGAGCAGCCTGGCAGGCTACAGTCCATGGGGTCACAAAAGTCGGACACAACTTAGCAACTAAACCACAAGGTAAAACAGAAAAGCTCAGCCTGATAAACAACGTCTTGGTTGGACAGGAGAAGTCCAGGCAAAGTCTTAAATAATTGGGTGCTACATCATAGTTTGATAAAAATTAGTTTATCAAAGAGTATCATGACTTTCCAATGCCCCGACTCCTCACAAATTTGAGAACTACTGCCCTAGTGCAAAATCAGTACAGAAGGAACTCTGAATTGGTGTCATCTTCTGAATGTTATTTCAAGTATTCTGTTCAGCACCAGGCATCAGGAGGGCACTCTACTACCTATCAATAATAACGATAACACACCTGCCTTTCTGAGCCCGAAGTGGGAATTCAGCAGAAAGGATGAGTCATTTCTAAGGCCAAAAATCAGTTCTCCAAACAGAAATATTTTACACACAGAATCACTCAGAAGAGTGGATTTCAACAGAAATATTTAGTTCTAGTTGCAAATGTGCCCATCATATAATTCTCTAAATGTAAAACTTGTCTAGATTTTCATCAACATTCCAAGGCTGGGGAACAATATACCATAAGGGAAGAAATCCGACTTAACATCAATGTGAACTGCCAGAACCCCCAACTTTTGGCACCACTAACTAGGTTCAGGCTGCAGTTCAAAATGAGATCCATTAGCATTCCAGAATGATTCGACTTTCCTACCACCATTCCAATTAAACAGAAGGTAACTGGGGGATCTTTTGAGTTAGCTAGTAATTATGGGAGCCAAAAAGTGAATTAACTTTGCAAGATGTTATGACAGAATTGAGGGTTTCTCCATCTCAGCACTACTGACATTTTGGGTTAGACAGTTCTTTGTTGCAGGGGGTTACCCTGTTCACTGCAGGATGCCCAGCAACATCCCTGACCTCCACCCACTAGAAGCCAGGAGGACCAGCTGTAACAACCAAAAATGTCGCAACACTACAAAACACCCCCTAGGGAACAAATTCACCACCAGGCGAGATCCACTGTAAAAGATGAAATAAAAGGCTTCATGTTTAATTCTCCAACACAATCATTATAAGGAAAATGAGTCAAACAGCAGCAATCTGCAAAATCTCTGCACATTACTACAGTTATTTTTCACTCCAACAGGAGGCTCAGAGTGGGTGTCCTCCTTTAAGAATGTCTTAACCTCTCAGCAGCCTGGCTTCTTTCCCCTTTCATATCAAAGGTCAAAATCACTCTATTCTAAAGATCCCACATCTTTCTTCTTAAATCATCCAGCTCTCTTCTTGACCTCTCTACTGGAGCTGACATACCCGGCCTCCCCCATTCCAACCTGGTAATCTTAATTATTCCTCCAACTAACTCTGACCACTTCTCAGTCACTCCTTTTTCTTTCTACTGCTCAATCCACGTCACTCTTAGAATTTATCCCCAACTTAATCAATGCTCCAGATTAACCAAAGTGTGCTTTTGTCTGTGAAACATGCCAACCAATGCCCATGGCTCAGTGAATCCCCAAGGCTACGAGGTCACTCTCTAGAACATTCATGAGTACTTGAGCTCCAACCAGGAGAGTTGCTCTTGTGCTTCCAGAGTCAGTTATGTATGTTACCCAGCCTGTGTATACCAACTGTATTCATTACTGTAATTATGTGGTTTCAACTCTTCGTAAGAAAGAAAATAAATTTTCTATGAAAACAAAATTGGATGCTACAGAAAGACTCAGGATGAGTTCCTTTTTAAAAATAGCTGTTGCCTTAGGTGGAGGCAAGATAAAAATCTAGGTTTTTGTATCTGCAAATCTTTAAATTCCTTTTTAAAGACATTAAAACTGGAATGTGTACTCAATGCATTATGAATGTGGTTTATTAAAGAAAGGGGAAACTCCAGTTATTCTCAAAGAAAAACTCTGGGCTCTCTTTCAAAATATTGTTTAATAAATATATATTTTTAAGTTAAAATGCTACATACATTTACAAATCATTTTGTGACTCCTCACTTTAAAAACTTTCTTGATTACCCAACTACCAGAATCTTACGGCACTCAGACAAGAGGGCTCCTACTGTGTATAAAAATATTCTGTCCTCAGCCATCCCAGTGTAATATCTCATCTTCTTCTCTCAGCACTCTCTTCCGCTCCCACGACTCAAGTCTTCAGAGTTGGTTTTCCCCAACCTTATTAAAGCCATCTCATCTGCTTTTGCCAGTGCTATTTCCAGTCTTCAGAGCACTGCTGAGCAAAG